TTAAGTTTTATGAGAAATTATCAACTATGCGAGAAATTTTCGGCCACACGATCTGTGATTATTCCATTTGGGGCGGATGGATGGTGGGAGAAATTAATTGCATACAAATTCCCGATATCACTGGCTTGCACGCGTCTGAGTATACGAGCCAGCTGCTGCCTTTGCTGTCGTGACTCGTAGAAATCAGGAATCAGGGCAGCGAGTGGATTCTTTATTAGTGTTTACCCCTTCTGGTGGCATTTGCCTCTCTAATGGTGAATTATGGAAGTGACGTGAGGTACATAGTTTGCATAGCGTGGCTACTACTGTCGTTGCTCCTTGAAGTTGGTATGCATTTCGAGCCATGATCGGGTTGTACCGATAGCGGGAAGGATTTATTCGCAAGCATAAATGTCAACATGATTAGGGCGAAGAAAGCCAGGTAGCACGTGTTGGGGCTGATGAGTCGTATAATGCAGGAATTTATGGTTTGTGAGTCAGAGAATCGTGCCAAGAATGTTACTTAAAATTGTTTCCGTTTTGTGATTATTTCTAGCTTATTGGTATTTAATTTCCTTTATTTGATTGATTTGATACACTTTTTATATCACGCGAATTCAAGGGAATTCTACAATACCTACTGGTTAATAAACAAAAGTGGCTTGAGTTCAGCACAATTCACCGTCTTGCTTCTTGGCCGAAGAAAGAAATTTTTACAATAGAAACTTTTCTTCAAACAAGAAAAAACTTTCAATTCATTCCATTGTAGGACCATCCGTGCAGGCCATCAAGCCGGAACAGCCAAGGGCTACAACACAACGCGATAGTCATGTAGAGTCGGCAACATCTTGCAGTACCCGAAAGCGCTGACCCTTGTCATTCTCTCAGATCCTGCCACTTTCAACACCTTCACTGCTAAAACAGATCCCACTTTCGTTCGGGCACTAGCATGATGTTGCTCCGACGGTGCCATTAGTTCCGCTCTTGCTAACGGTTTGTCGCATATCATCACCATTTGCCAACGGGCCAGGGCAAGTCAAGATGAAACTCATCACGAACTTACATCTAAAATGCGATGTAAGTTCTACGAATAATTAAAACGGCGAACTACACTCTTAATTTTCGGACTTTGGTGGTTCTCCGCCACTTCATCCCTGCATCGAAACCATCAGACTAAAATTTCCAAAGCGATACCGAAACACTTTGCACTCAACTGAAAATGGAAACATTTCATACCGAACACCGAATTCGCCGCCTCCGGGGCCAAAAGTGTCAAAGCGGGCCAAATTAAGCCGTCAACCGAAGCAATACCATGCAAAGGGAAGCAACAGGAAAGTGGAACGAACCTCGGTGGACTCGGTGGGAAAATGTTTGCTGACATTTTTGAACCCTTCATCATCGTTTCGCAAGGATGGCGCTCGCTCGCTGCACAACAATCAGCAACAGGAACTTGGCGACGGCGTGGGCAGCGGGGAGAAAAAGTGCCAACAGCATCTCACAATCATTGTCGTCATATTGCGGCCTTTATCCGTCTTGTCCGCTAAATTTTTCGGGGTAAAGTTCTGAGGTACAATGCTGAAGGCGAGCGGGAAACGACGGGTGCTGGTGGTGTCGGGGAAAATGGACAAAGTCGAAAGAATGGAAGAAAGATGGTTGTTATTATTATGACTTTCACTTGGGTTTAACGGGTTGGGACAATTGGAGTTGGGATGGAGTTCGGTGTCGTAACCTTTTTTCAATTGTTGGGAAAGCGTTTTGGGGAGAATTGTTGTTGTCGCAAATTGCAGCGTCAATGGCTGATTTAATGCTTTGTGAATTTTGCGGAAAGCTTAATAATCTTTCAGCTTCTGAAATAAAGGCATCTATTCTGGGTTTAAACGTTGCAATAGTTTGGAAGTTATAAATTAGGTTGTTAGTAGAATAATCGTTGGCATTGGTGGTTGGTTGCGTGGTATGTGTGACTGCTTTCTCACTCCGGTCAGCCTGGATTCAATCCCACCCGAGGACAATGGGAGGTTTTATGAGGCGAAAAATCTTTGATCAGGTCTCATTAGCCCTGGATCATGTTTTAATGGGTTCGATTTCTAACGTGTATATGAGGAGTCACAACCTTTTTCTGGTGATTGGCATTACGTGCAGTACAAAGGCCAATGGAAATAAAAGTAAATAATATTTAGAGGAAAAAAAGCGAGTATTTTCCATTTAATTCCACTTAGTAAATTTTGCATGCATGTCATGGAAGCAAAATGAGCTCATGCACTTTGTGCAACTTTTTTTATCCCTACCCATTGTTTTTTTTTCATTCCTTTATATCAGGAAAGTGTTACAGTACATGTGAAACTGCCGTGTTTACATTTTTAAAAGGGAACTTACCCACATACTTTTTGTCTCTTTAACCACGTGGACCTGGTTTACACTAAACTTTCGCTTTAAAAATGTATGTTTGTGATGGGTTGTCAGAGTAGATCTCCTGATGTCTAACGCCAAATGATGCGAAGCTGCTCGACTTGAACAGATAAAAGAAAGCTAGCTGTCTCTTCGTCGCATCGATTTTCTTTATTAAAGCATATTGTAAGAAAAGTCAGATCTCACCATGGGTGGATTAATGGAGCTACTTGTGCTAGGATGGTTAATCTGCATTTCAAATGTACTCACACGGCTAAACAAAATAACATACCGCACAATGATTTAAAAGTCTAAGTTCACCCTCTTAATTAAAAGCACCATGAAAACGTGTATTCCGAGTGAGGACGTCTTGAGCAAAGTTGATAAAAATGACTTGCATCATCTTTTGAAGATATGAGTTTTGAGATTAATACCCCTGAAAGTTAGATGCAAAATTTATGTTTTCACAATGTCGAGGTAAAGTTGTACAAACTGAAACCCTACGGTCGAAACGTTAGGATAGTTAGAAACCAGCGTTTCAACAGCAAGACTGAGATAGCCACTCCTGGAATAACCAATTATTTAGTTGAAACTATCATTAATGTTGCATGAATTGTGGTTCAAAACGTAAACATTGTATGCTGCACTGTATGTATCTTATTTAGTTAGATTAGTCGTTTACAAAGGCGTATACGAACTATTGATGATACAAAACTGTTACGGATCGAAACAAATTCAGCTGAAAATGATTCAAAATGGGGCTAAAGTTGTCAAAATACTGGTAAAGTAAGATTCCCTTATTGGTACCGTAAGATATCGTAGCTTTGTCATGATCTCATAATGTTTAAATTAATAAAATAATTAAACAATTGTGTAGTCTCTATATTTAATATTATTCAGCCATTCCATTGCAAAACGATATAGTGGTTCTGACAGTACCCACTGATTATAATGAAAACTAATTTTGTAAATATTGGAAATACGTGATCCTAATCAGAAGTATAAAACTAAAGCTGAATCCTTAAACCATTGAAATTAAAAGTTAATCGATCCAATGCGACTAACAACAACAAATATGACCCACCCTAATGAGGATCGTCAATTCTCACGTGAGAGAGATTGCTCAATCCAGTGGTCACTCAATTGCACTTGACCACACAGCAGAAATGTGTATAGGTACATTGTAGATCAGTAGCAAATATTCATGTTCGTGTAGAAACGGCACGTCGCGTCGGGAAGGAGCAATCGTTACGAGATAAACGTGTCGTTTCCGTTCTCGCGCGTGATTCGAGTGGTGAGTAAGATGACAAACAAGGCGGAAAAGAAGCTGGAAGGAAACATCCTGATCCTTAAGCGAGTGTTGGCGATACGAGATGTGGTGGAAAAGTTCGTGGCGGAATAAGACCATGAGCAGGACGCCAACCAAGTATCGGTTCGGTTGGAAACCTTGGACAAGGTCAGGAAGGAGTTTCAACAGGTCCAAGGGGAGCTGGAGAAATTAGATATCGATCAGTTCGAGGATCACATCGAGGTACGCACCGGATTCGAAAATCGGTACTGCGTACTGAAGGGATTTCTACTCTCCAAGATGGACAATGGCCAGCCTCCATTAAATTCGACGATGATCAACACCTTCACTCACCACACAGCATCGAGTTTTCACCATCGGCTGCCAAAGACCGATCTGCCGAAGTTCAGCGGGGATGAATCAAGATGGATATCTTTCCGGGACAACTTTCTGTCGATGATCCTCAGCAACGAAGACATTCCGACCGTCAACAAACTCCAATATCTGCTGCAATCGTTGGAGGGAGAAGCAAAGAAGCCGTTTGAAAGCGTTGACATTCAGGCGGACAATTATGCGTTTACGTGCGACGCATTGATGAAGCGCTACGACAATAAGCGGTTCCTGAGGAAGGAGTTATTTCCAGGACTGTTCGAATTACCATCAATCAAGCGTGTATCAGCATAGGAGCTAAACACATTGGTCGACGAATTCCAGCGGCACGTGAAAGCGTTAGGAAAGCTCAGTGAACCAATCAAGCACTGGAACCCTCCCCTCACTTTCATCCTCTGCAATAAGCATTTACGTTACGTTCAGGGGAACAAGAAACGCGTCAGAAGGATGACATAAGCTACGATGAGTTTATCGAATTCCTCATCCAGCAAGTTCGAATGCTGAAGTCTATATCAAGTGATCTACAACATCGCTCACAAGGGACTAGCATCAAGGTGGCCGGTCCAAACCCGAAGAAATTATCCACATTCAAGTCAGTTGTCAATGCTGCTACAAGTGAAGTCAAGTCGAACACTCTTCATTGCCCTGCATGTTCCGAGAAGCATCTGCTACACCAGTGTCCGACATTCAACAAGCTGTCCGTATCCCAACGACGAGAGTTGGTAATCCAGCGAAGCTTGTGTTGGAACTGCTTTTGTTCTGGTATCAAGCGCGGGCCTGCAAATCCAAATTTAGTTGCAGAACCTGCTGCTAAGCCAGACATCACACCTCGCTGCACGACGTAGCTCCGAAAAAGACAACTCCTGCCGTACCGTCGAATCCTCCTAAGCAACAACCAACTCCATCCACGTCAGCGCACGCGGGGACCTCTGGATAAGCGCATCCACCGGAAGTTAGCATGGCTATCCAATCGAACCACAGCACGGTCCTACTGGAAACGGTTGTTCTAATCGTCGTCGATCAACACGGCAAGGAATTCACCGTACGAGCGCTCCTAGATTCTGCATCGATGTCCAACTTCATCACCAAGCGGCTGGCAAACGCTCTTGTCACGCAGCGTACTGCAGTGGACGCTGCTGTATCAGGACTAGGAGAATCCGTCAAGCAGATCAAACGCCAAATCACGGCTACGATCAAATCGAAAACGAACACTTTTTCCACCACACTCAAATTTCTCGTAATGAAGAAACCATCTGCCAATCTTCCGACTATCGCCATCAACACAGCTGCGTGGACCTTATCAAGCGTTCCACTGGCCGATCCGCACTTCAATATTCCGGGCATGATCGATATCATCATCGGTCGGGAATGCTACCACGAAATCTACACCGGTAACCGCATAGCACTCGGGAACGGTGTACCATTGCTGGTCGAAACACACTTCGGATGGGCAGTATCTGGAAAAACGTCCACCAATTCAGCTGATGCACCACCAGCATGCTACATATCGACCACCGACCGATCCCTCGAATCAGCACTTCAACGTTTCTGGGAGCTTGAAGCCGTCGATAATGGCCCGACGCATTCCTCAGAAGAGAAATTATGCGAAGAGATCTATGCCACTACTACCACTTGAACTCACGATGGAAAGTACGTCGTACGCCTTCCTCGGTCCGAAGATCCGCAAGTCACACTCGGAGAGTCCCGAAAAATTGCCACACGCCGCTTCTACAGCCTTGAGCGCTGCCTTGAAAGAGATCCTGCCTTGAAGAAAGCCTACCACAATTTCGTCGAAGAATACCTCCGCCTCGATCACATGCGCAAGCTCAATTCTCCCGGTTTTCAAGGAGAGCAGCACCACCACAAAGTTACGCGTGGTGTTCGACGCTTCCTGTAAGACCTCCTCCGGAATGTCGCTCAACGATACACTCCTTGTCGGCCCAGTTGTGCAGCAGAATCTCGACACCATAATCATCCGCTTCCGTTCTCACGTTGTTGCCATTGTGGCTGACGTAGAGAAAACGTACCGTCAGATTTTTCACTTTCCTGCTGATCAACATTTCCTACGCATTCTATTTCGTCGAAGGCCATCAGATCCAATCGACACATACGAGCTCCTCACGGTTACGTATGGAACATCCTACAACACGTACACTGCAGCAGCTAGCGAAAGACTAAGGAGACAATTACCCGGAAGCAGTAGAAGCTGTCGTCGAAGATTTTCACGTCGATGATCTCCTTACTGGCGCAGACAACTTGGAGTCTACCATAGAAAAACGTCGTCATATATCTACCATGCTCGCATCGGCTGGTCTACCGCCAAAAAAGTGGGCTTCCAACGTTCCTGAAGCTTTGGCTGGCATCCCGCCTGAAGATCTGGCGATCAAACCTTTCCATGATCTGCAAGATGATCAGTCAGTATCCACGCTTGGCCTTGTGTGGGATACGAAGACGGATATGCTCCGTTTCAACGTCGATCTTCCGCTACCAGCACCGATTCTTACGAAAAGAAAGGTCATCTCGTACATTGCCAAGATTTTCAGCCACTGCCAAATTGTTCATGCAGCGACTTTGGAAACTAAAGAACGAAGACAAAGCTCCCTACGAATGGGACCGCCCGCTCCCGCAGAAGCTACAGGATGAGTGGAAGCAATTCCATGCTACGCTTCCTATCCTGGCTGACATCAGAATTCCATGTTTCGTATCTTTGGCCGCCGTTTCCAAGGTTGAGTTGCATTTCTTTTGCGATGCATCTGACGCTGCCTACGGAGCATGTTGCTTCATCCGCTCGTTGAACAACGACCAAGTAAAGGTTCAATTGCTGACATCGAAGTCAAAGGTGGCACCCCTTGCCACGAAACACACTATCGCAAGACTTGAGTTGTGTGCAGCCGTTCCTCGGCTAGTTTTTTGCCTGCTTTTGGCGACAAAGTAGTTTTCACTACATGCAGGACGTTTCATAGGATAATGCTGCGTCAAACATAATTTGCAAATTTGTATGGATTTACTATACCTGTTTTCTAAGACATAGAGTAGGAGTTGTTCAACCAACGACCCAATGAAACAGCTTATAGAAGTTACATTCAAATTCAAAGCCCTGTTTTTCCTTGACTTCCTTGAACTTCGATGACATCCTTCGAACTTTCTTGATGTTCTTTGACCGTCTCTGAGTTTGGCTTTTTATTCCTGAAATTCTCAGATATTTCTTAAAGTTCACAGTACTTTCCTAATGTTATTAAATTTTCCCTGTGGTTCACATACCATCCTAAAGTTTGCCAAAATTTCTTCACGTTTAAAGAGCTTTTTGCAGAGCATCATTGAAATTCATATAATGTTGCCATAGTTCACAGAACTCTCTTGAAGTTCGTAGAACTTACCAGAACGACATTAAACTCCCCAGAAGCTCACAAAACGTCCCTGAAGTCGGCAGAATTTTTCTGAAGTTTATAGAGCTTCTCTGAAGATCGAAGCACATGATTAAAGTTTTAATAATTTTCCTGAAGTTTGTAGAACTTCCCTAAAGTTCAATGAACTTATCTGAAATTTTTTGAATTTCTTTGCTTTATTGGAGGAAATTATTTAAAGTTTGCAGTACTTTCCTAAAATTCATCACAGTTTCCTATAGTTCGCAGAATTTCCTAGAAGGTCGCTGAACCTTCCTGAAAATTTCCATGGACAAAATATGGGAACTGCAATGAAGCTCTAGCAAATCTGTAGTAATTCAAAGTGAGGGCTACCTAAACTCACTGGGCAAGAGTAGCTAACCTCATGTGAGTTTCATTCCTGTATTATCGGCATTATCGGTTAAACGATTTAAAAAAAAATATCTTCATGGTTGCCAGAATTTATTTTCGATCTTGCCGTTGAGTCAAACATATCAAATTATTTTTAAAAATTCAAGCAAATTTTCCACCCCTCAGGATGATTTAGTGGTAAATGCCACCTTCGTCAGCTGCTGCATACAAGACACAAGACACTTTCGGATACCTACTATCTTCTTTATTTAACTCCGGTAAAAATCTTTCAATGATCGTCGCTACTAAAGTGGCTTCATTTTTTTTTACAGAGTCGTTTTTCGAGCACGACAAGCGAGCTATATATTTTCTTCATGAGATTTTTTTTAATTTTTCCAGATTTTCTACACTATACATCCATAAAAAAAATACTCGAAATCGGACAAAAATCAACGCCTACTATGATTACGTGGCTGTCTCGGACTGTCCTGCCCGCTTTTTTCTCTTTTACTATTATGAGGGAAGAGAAATTAAACAAGATATTGTGCTACGAACAAATTTTAATTGATATATCACAAAGTCGACAAAATCAATATGGATCTTATTTGGGAGTCAAAGAAAACTTCTTTAATGCCATTTGGATTAATGCAATCAACTTTTGAACCTTATTTAACTGCATTTGTATGCTGTTGTATGGTCAATTGTCGATATATATATACGCCTTCATAATCAGCTTTGTAAACTTCAAAACACTTGTTCTCAAAAAACCCAAGATGAAATATTTTAAAACCATCACAGATTTGATTGTTAGAATCAATACTACTGTGAAGAAAAATCTGAGGTATATGAATGTTGCCCAAAAAGTGCCTTCAGACATAGCGTGCGGCTTTACTTCGCACTTCCAGAGTCGTGATCAGAGATTTTATGCCTCACAAAATCTCGGCGGCGCTGACTGGGATTGAACCCAGGCCTTTTAGAGTGAAAGGCAATTGCGCTAACCACTAAACTACCAGCGCGGCTTAAAAAAAAAGCTTTCAAATGATGATAATTTTGTCTGTCTACAAACGTCTGCTCTAGAGTTGTGCTCATAACCAGTGTTGTAAGCGATCATTTGCAAAAAAGCTATCAAATTACAGTACCAAACTAAAATGTCATATGACATGCTCTAGCATACGACACTTTCGCCGAAGACCGTCACGAATGTATGTATTTTAGTTTTTTCTCATAATAAGAGCTGCTGATGATGTGCTTACATATGTAATGCTGAAAATAGCAAGCAGCGATGTCCTAGTAATAACATTTCTGATCAGAATTGGTCTAATTTACACCAAATTTAGGAATTAGAACAAAATAATACATGTTATATGATAATTTTCTGTTTTTCTCGAATGTTGTTCTACCGTTTGTGTTGTGTAAGAGAGACGACGGTAGAGCATGAGAATACGAATAGAAACATACTGTCACGTACGACAACGAATCGAGTGTTGTAAAAAACGTCAACAGTTTCAACCCCTGCTCATAACAAAATGGTCGTCGCTTAACTCTAAATGCTATCTGGTTGCTCGTTGGTTTCGTCCGGGAATAATTTCTTCCACGCGTCCTCGGATCCACTGGTCCCTCGCCGTTCCGTTCACTATGAACACTGGATCGTCAACCGTTATGTACCGAACTTCATCGAACCATTTTCCTCTTCGAGGTACTCCTTCACCCATTTTTATCAGAACTTGTAGCTTTATACGTTTGGATCTAGTCTTCATTAGAAGATCCCAACAGAAAGTCGATGGGAGTTGCCGACTAGGTGAGCGATCGCGTGTGGGCAGTTGTGGTGCAAAATGGCAGAATGTAGATATTTTTTCCTTGAGCCTGACCTTTTAAAAAATTAAAATTCAAAAGCCTTGAAGTCTTTCAGATGATTTGTTGTATGAACATTCTCCGCAATTTGAACGTAAAAATAAAAGTAAACTATTTGAAGATAATTCATGTGTTCATTAAAGTATCAGAAAATATAAAACAAACAACTTTGCTTATGCAGCCAAAATTTAAAGTCCAGTATTTTCAGAGCTATTGAACATTTTTATGGTATAATATTTTAGTAGGGTTAAGTATCCCATTTTGGGCCTATTAAGCATAAGCAAATTTCATGACGGTATTTGATAGCTTAGTATTTACCAAATCACACATATCTATACACAGGATTATTCTATTGATAAAACTGTTGCTTTATTGGTAACTATCAGTTTGAATTAATCTTTCTTACCTTAAAAAATCGAAAAACCTAATAACTCTCCAGCGCCTAAATTCGGCCTATGAGTTGTAAACTCGGCCTACTTAGATTGTCTTCGGCTTACACAAAAAATCGTTCAATGTTTACAATAAAACTTCACTTGCTGTGTGAAACATATGATGTAGAAATGTCAAATCTGAAGACAACAATAAACGGATTATCGATAAACGCAAAGGGCCCATCGGCTAATAATAATTGAAAAGGCGGTTGAGAAAATTAATAAATAATGAATCCGTTAGTCTAGAATACCCGAAAAAGCAGTTCTGTACATCTACGTTTCCAGAAATAGTGCAACCATATAATGTGGGGTTTGCATGCTTTTGTTTGAGCTCTTATTTGAGACATATTTAGATTTTTATTATATACATGGTTTGAAGAATTAGGACAATAAGCTTTGCTTAATTGTTGATACACAGACAATGGGCTAATCAGTTTATGCAAAAAAAAAATCCGGTGTGGCCGGGGAGGGTGAGGAGGTCAATAATAATTTCTTGGTTGTTGATAACCACATTGTCCTTTCCATTCTTTACCCTATAACGCCCATTTTTTTAAAATTCTGCATTCATTATTTCAAAACGTCTTCGAGGTGATATGAAAAATATGGGTTTTATTCATCTA